TCACCTCCTTGCAGTGCCAGCTTCCTGCTTGCAATTCCCAAGGACTCAGCCTGGTCCACTTCCCATTGCCAAGTTGCCTTTCCTAGATCTTCTTCCTCTAGTGACCTGTTGCCAAGCTGGCCAGAACAATAGAAAGGGAGCTATGTTAAGAAATTAGATGATAATGTCGGCGTCATAGCTTCTCCTCTACTTACTGTATTACATCTCAACAGTGACATCAGAATTTAAAAAGTAAAAATAAAAACTTAAACAATCAAAGGAATGAACATCTAGGTGTTGAATATTAGGAGGAATTCAAGGATGGCTGTCTCAGTGCGTTTGGGATGCCATAACAAAACACCATAGACTTAGTGGCTTGCAGTGGATCGAAATTGAGTTCTCTCAGATCTGAAGGCCATATGTCCAGGATCAAGGTGCCAGATTCAGTGTCCTGGTGAGAGCTGCTTCCTGGTTCATAGGCAGCCATCTTGCTGGATTCCTACATGGAGGAAGGAAGAAAGACAACTCTCTGGGGTCTCTTTCATAAGGACGCTAATCCCCATGAAGCTTTGGCCTTCACTTAATCACTTTCTAAAGTCCCTACTTCAAATGCTACCAATTTAGTGATGAGATTTCCAAATGACTTTGTGTGTGTGTGTGTGTGTGTGTGTGTTTGTGTGTGTATGTGAGCAAATTCTATCCATAGCAGCTAGTGTCTAGAGCCTTTCTTACATTGATATATGCATCTAAAATTGACCTATGGGTGCCTTCAAGTCCAGAATAAAAAATAGTCACTTTACTACAACAGCTGCCTCTCTCTGCACTGCTTAGTAGGATCCATCAAATCTAGGACCCGATCAGACAAGTGAATGAGTTCAATCATGTAGGCAACTGGAGTCAGGGCCTTTGTCAAATGAGCTGTTTCCTCTGACGTCACTGGGCTGCTGCTCATCAAGGCTTCCAAGTGTGTGTTTTCCAGAAAAACCTTCTCTGAAGAGGAGGCCTGGCCTTGGAAGGAAAAGGACCTGTATCCTGCAAGTGGGGTATTCCTGCTCCTTGTTGGCTTCCCTTAGGACTGATTCTCTAGGTAAATGCACTACTTTGTGTGTGTGTGTGCTGATAGTGGGGCTTGAATTTAGGGCCTGGGCACTGTCCTTGAGCTCTTTTTGATCAAGGCTAAAACTCTACCACTTTGAACCATGGCTCTACTTCCAGTTTTCTGGTGGTTAATTTGAGATAAGAGTTTCCCAGACTTCTTTGCCAGACTGGTTTTGAACCCTGATCCTCAAATTTCAGCCTCCTGAGTAGCTAGGACTACAGGTGTGAGCCACTGGCACCCAGCACTGTCTCTTAGTTTTTTTGCTGGCACTCAAGCACTTGAGCCACAGCCCCATTTTTGGCTTTTTGGTGGCTAATTGGAGATATTAGTCCCATAGACTTTCCTGCCAAGGCTGTTTTTAAACCATGATCCTCAGATCTTAGCTTCCTGAGTAGTTAGGATTGTAGCTATGAGCCACTGGTACTTGGCTTGTTATGAACACACTTTTTAGCCAAGAGGAAAATAGAGATGTCAACTACAGAGCTGTCATAGTCAGCTCTTGTGGGTGGGACTTTGGAAATGGTGATATGGTGACAGCCATAAATCAGAAGCTGGTCTGTCTTCTCCCCTGTCTCTGTCTTCACTGCTGTCCTCTGGGTGCTGTTCCTGAAGACCTTTTGCTACTCAGATCTTGGTGGCTCTTCACTCCTTTTTCAAAATATTCCTCTCTCTTCCCTCTCTCAGTGCCAGACTGCTGGCATGTGACTTGCATCCTGTGCAGGCTGCCATGTCTGGCTCAGCCGGGTTTATAATTGCCTCTGGTTAAAGTTTAAATAGATGGGTTTCAGCCCAAGAGAAAAAATGTAAACAACCCTTTCTGCAGGCTTTCAGGACTACTGGCTTCCAGAGCTTCTGAATTCTGTACTTTGGGAAATTCATTCTCTTCTCCCTAGCCCAGCGCTTGAGACATGTTGTTGCCTGGACTGTGGGGAGTTTTTAAGCTGTTGAGTGCCTCTCCCAAGCCAGATAGAAGCTTTTAGAGGACCTGCACATTTCCTTTTAACTCAATTAAGCCATTAGGATTCAGCTTCCTCTTTAGCCAGTGTCTCTGGTGCACTAAGGTGAGAGAACAGGACTGGCTCCCCACAGGAAGGAAGAGAGAGACCGTCATTTTCCTGCTGGAATTGTTTGCTCTTTGGGGAGGAGGAGCCTGGAGCTGTTGCTCCAAGGTTTTGGTGGATGAGATAGATGGACTGAGAATCAGAAGAAAGGGGCTGCTATTCTTGGCCATGATAGGAGGGAGAAAGAAAAGGAAGGACTAGAACCCAAGGACTCAGTTTCAGAGATCCTTGACTGCTGTCATGCCTTAGAAGTAAGCAGATTTTTGTGGGATTTTGTTTTGTTTTGCTTGAGTTTTGATTAAGAGTATTGATCTCTCTCTCTTTCTGTCTCTCTCTCTCTCTCTTTCTCTCTCTTTCTCTGTGTGTGTGTGTGTGTGTGTGTATGTGTTGCTTTGCGTACTATGTGTACTGATGATCTGGTGTCAGGATGGATTCAGCAATAATTTGGAATGTTTTAGTCAAAGACGTCATTGTATTCTTGCTTTTCTCACCTCAAAACCCAACAATTCTTCAAGCTGAGCCTATTACTCAAAACCTGCAGTCTGGCTCAAACCCCTCTTCATCTTCGACTCCCCAAACTAGACTCTTCCACCCTGGTCCTATAAGTTGTTCCCTGTCTCTGTAGTATCCTAATACCTGGGTCCTGTCCCTGCTGTGCGCAGCAGCATCTCAGAATACCTGAGTTCTCTGGGGCTTCCCATCTTCTCGATCCTTCCTTTAGTTCTGTAGCAGCCACTATGATCCCCTTCCGTGGAACCTTGTATCATTGTCTGTTCCTCTGCCAATATTTGTGTGTCATCAGCTTCTCACACATGATACCCAGCTCTGAGTGAAGCATGAGTCCTTGCTACCCTCTGCCCTCTACTAACCAGCCTCAGCTGTGACTTGCTGCCAATGCTCAATAAAGATCAGTCTTTAGTCTTCAACCTTTTGAAAATATGTCAATATGTTAAAAATAGATCTTGGGGCTAGGTACCAGTAGCTCATGCCTGTCATCCTAGCTACTCAGGAGGCTGAGATCTGAGGATCATGGTTCAAAGCCAGCCCAGTCAGGAAAGTCCATGAGACTCTTATCTCCAATTAATCACCAGAAAACCGGAAGTGGCGCAGTGGCTCAAGAGGTAGAGTTCTTGCCTTGAGCTGAAGAGCTGATGGACAGCACCCAGGGCCAGAGTTCAAGCCCCATGATTGACCAAAAAAAAAAAAAAATAGATCTTGGGAGGAACTTAAGACTTATGTAAGGATTTGGGAGTCCAACAGATTGGGTTCAAATCTAAGTGTCTCCTCAGTGTCATCCTGTCCAACCCTCATTTTTTCCACATGTAAAATGGAGACAGAGTTCTCTTTTACAGGCCTTTGTACAGATTAAAATGAGTCTTGCTAGTAAGAACCCAACTTCCTTACCCTTTCTTTTTTTTTCTTTTTTGTCAGATGTGGGGCCTAAACTCTGGGCCTGGGCGCTGTCCCTCAGCTCTTCAGCTCAAGGCACTTGAGCCATAGTACCACTTCTCGCCTTTTCTGCTTATGGGTGCTGAGGAAGCGAACCCAGGGCCTCATGCATGCAAGGCAAGCATTCTACCACTGAGCCACCTTCCCAGCCCCTTCCTTACCCTTTCTTTTTTTTTTCTGGGGGGTCCAGTCGTGGGACCTGAACTCTGGGTCTGGGCGCTGTCCCTCAGCTCTTCAGCTCAAGGCTAGTGCGCTACCAATTGAGCCACAGCGCCACTTCCGGCTTTTTTCTTTTTGCTTATGTGGTGCTGAGGAATCGAACCCAGGGCCTCGAGCACGCAAGGCAAGCGCTCTACCACTGAGCCACCTTCCCAGCCCCTCCTTACACTTTCTTGACGTTAGATTTTTTTTTTCCTTGAGGCAGCCTCTTGCTACGTAGCCTAGACTGATCTTGAATTCTCAATCCCCGTGCCTCACACTTCACACTCTCTAGTGCTTGGATTACAAGCATATATCACAATGCTTAGCAATGTTAAAAAAAAAAAAAACCCACAACGTTTTAAATGTTGAAATGTTTTATTCTGGAACATGGATCCTATCAGTCAATTTAGAGAAGGTATGCCACATTTTCCCGTTAGAGTTTTCCTTGATGAAATATTCTCATTTGAATTTGTAAGTTGTTTGAAAGGCTGATCTTGCAGACAGAACTGCACTCACTGATTTATTGGTTGTTAGAAGACATCCAGTGGTGGGATGTTGAAAAGACCATTGCTGCCATACTCTTTGTTTCAGTTATCACGTATAGTCCCTGGCACGGAGTCTCTGTTGTAGCTCTTAAGCTTAAAGAAGGGGAAGCGATGTCAGTGAAGACTGCCTTCATTTTCCCCTTCACCAATGTCAGTTGCTATTTTGCTCAGGGGAAGGGCGCAGGATTCCATTCATCCATTCACCATGTATTGATACCACTGTGAACCAGGTACTAAGAAAACTGATAGGTTGGTTGAAGTCCATGATGTAAAAAAGCTTTCAATCAGTGGGCTTAGTGGAGTGGGGTCGCACAAGATCAAAGCATCTACTAAACTGGATGTACAGATAGAGTGGAGGAGACAATCAGCATCCCAGAAAAAATTTCAGGGAGGTGACCACCTGAGCTAAGTCTTGAGATAGCAGTCCATAACTACTAACAGGCAGTCACAGCCAAGCGATTCCCATAAAGGACCCTCAACTCTTGTTCCTTCTCCTTTTATCAGTCCATGCAACTGGAAGCAATTGCTTCTTATGTCTTTAACCTGTGTAGTCAACTTAGCCTTGGCCCAAGGACCATAACTGCTTCTTAGGATGCAGCATTATCAGTGCTGATTCTCATCACGGGACTGACAAGGGGAGCTCTGCTGCAGCTTTTGTCCCCAGCGCAGGAAACAGCTGGAGTGGTCTGAGCTCCCTGCCCTAGGATGGAAGAGTCAAGGCTGTGGCTGTGCGGGTATTTGAGTCTGCAGGTGTGGGCACATTTGGATGGGTAGCTGGATGTTTGTTGGAGGTGTTGGCACCACAGACGGAAGTGGGGACTTGGAAAGCAAAGCAATAGTTCAGGACCTCACAGGCCAGCTGAAAGACTGTGCAGGGAAGGGGGAGGTGGCCACAGCCCTGATCAAAACAAAAACAGGGCAGGAAATTGCATCAGAAAAGGAAGAACGCCAGTGTCCTGCTGAAGAGCCACAAATGTCACAACACAAAAATAAAACGTGTGTTTCTTATTTTACCTAGGCAGACGTGGTCACAATACTCTCTTCTGCACAGTGTCATAACATTACTGAAATAATATTTGTTACAGCAAACAAGAATGCAGAAAAACACAAACAAGAAATTGCTCTAATTTTTAAAAGTTAGATACCTCATCTTTTATTTTGTTCACATCAGTAATTGATTAGCACTTCTATATAAAAGTTTTTTTCCTCCATCCACTTAAAAATACTAAGAAAACAAGTTATGAGTTGGTTGATTGTAATAGGTCTCATTATTAACACAAATTGAGAAATTCTAATAAATATATTCTAATAAAAGTGAATGAATTGATGATGTCAGGGTATGAAATACAGAGCCAGGGATGTTATAAAAGTTTTTATTTATGCTTTTGATACAGGGTCTCAACTATGTCACCCAGGCTGGTTTCCAACTCACAATACTCTTTTCTCCTTCAGCCTCCCGAGTGTTAGATTACTGGCATTCACTACCACACCCAGCAAAATTTTCATTTCAGTTCTTGTATAAATGTTAGTCTCCTTACCAAAAAAAAGTAAAAGGGTAATTTTCATTCTGATTAGATTCTTGTAACTACACATATGAAAATTTATAGGAGGGGTTTTTTTTCACTTAAAAGTTTTTTTTTT